ATAAGAGGTATATGTGTGTGTGTGTGGAAAGGCCTACAGGTTCTATGCCTTAAGGTTTTGGATCAAGATGTAATATCGAGATCACTCAAAATGCATTTGATTTCACCAATGTTTAATATTGACCTAGGATTTGTTTTTATGTTAGTGTTTAAGTATGAGTTGCTAGGGAGAAGAAGTCTCACGTCAGATAAAATTAAACCAGATAAGGAGCATATATATGTGGGAAGACCTATGGTCCCCCTTTGGTACCCAAGTATATAAGCAATTTCTCATACCGAATATTTTTTTAATAGATTTTTTCACTTTCAATCCTAATCCCTATGTCTCATTCTCAATGCTTTGTACCAAACAAGACGTATAAATTTAGTACCTTAAGTTTGGATGAAGATGTAATGTTGAAGTTACTCAGAATTCATTAGAGGGATGCTCAAATGATGGTTGATGAGTCTCATGCTCTCATCTTGTTATCTCTTTTCAATGATTCATGTTCTAAATGAACTTTCATATAATTCAAATCAAACAAAGCACCTTTCATATTCTTTGTTGGTCATAACAATGGTTTCGATAGATATGGGCCTTTTAGTTTTTCTTCTCAATCACATGTTTGAGTTCATAAACTAGGTTATGAGACCAATGTGAAGTTTCTATAGGTAGCTCAATTTATGCGTAAGTTGAAACTGCTAATAAAACAAAATATGCAGTTACCTGAGATGCATTATCTAAGGGGACTTCTTCAGGACCACATGATCGTTGAGTCATGTCAGAATTGAATGGATTGCAGAGGAGAGGCAAAGTAGGACCAGATTGATTGTATGAAGCCGACGGTGGCGCACCGGGGGGCGGATCAATGTTGGCTATATTTTTGACAAAATCATCAACCATATTCACCATCTGGAATGAGGTGTTTCTGGTTATGTCCAGTGCTTTCTGAGCTGTAGGTCCATCCACACAAGGAATGACCTCACTCAGAGATGTACGGTCCTGGGGATGTTCTAGCCATTCCTCTATTGCAACGCATGTGTCTCCTACCCCACTATATATATGTTTATAGTTTCATAAACAAAAGAAATGAATTAATCAGCTTTTTCTACTTAATTACAGCTTTAAGACTTGGAAATAGAATGTTGTGTCAACAATAATGAATGGGACTCACTTTTTAACAACTAAAGATATAGCACTCAGTATTAGAGTTTTTGTGACAAAAATCCACCCAATGAAGAACAGGCTGCAAAATTTTAGTATTTTTCACTCATATCAGGTTCTGTGTAAGTACAATGTGTACATAAGTATAGAAAGACAAAATCAAATTAAATGGAACAGTGTCACTTACAAGTAGACAATGCCTCTCCAGCCGCAAACTGAGAATACTGCAAAAATAATTAGAACCATAGAATGATATGAGCCAAAAAGATTCTGTGTTGACAAGAGAAATAATGAATTCATTAGATGAAAGGGTTACTATATATACTTACTGAAGCCAATGAATGCCAAGAAGAGCATCACAGCAGTAACAACTATAAGAACATAGCTTCTGCAGATAATAACCACTGTTTAGCTTAAAATCCCATATATATAGGGTTAATACTATTGTTGGTCTTTATAGTTTGATCGAATTTTGATTTTAGTCTTACAGTTTCATAATTTTTTGGTTTGAATTTAACAAATGGTCTTTATACTCTTAAATTTAGATCAAGTCCTTATGAAATTGTAGGAACCAAAATCAAAATTGGATCAAACTATAGGAACCAACGAAGATATTAACCCATATATATGTGTGTGTAAAATCTTACTCCTGATCATGGGTGTGTGCACTATATATTATATGAAGAAAGGTTCACTCACAGGGCACTGAGAAATTTGTCTGCTTGTGAGATAAAATTCTGCAGAATGACCCTGGGATTAGAACTTGAATTACTATGCACCAATTCACGAAACTGTTCAATGTTCCTCTCATATTCTCCTGGGAGAGAATATGCACCCACTGCTAACTTCATAGCCCCATCAAGATTATTCAACACGCCGTTCAAAAGATCAAGCACATCACTTATTTTTCTCCCAACATTATCTATCACTGCGTCTGTAGCTTTCTTAAAGTTCCCTTGTCCAGTGTAAAGCATAGCCCCTCCAACTCTGAAACCAATATCAATATACCACTTAACCCTAAGCATATATATACATATGTTTCCAAACTCTCACAATATAGTGAAGTTAATAAGAAATAATTAAGTTTTTAGAGTACCCTACATAGCCATGAGTAAGAAGAGAACAAGGCAGATGAGAGATCCCCAATAAACTGTTCGAGAATAACTACTACTGCTTCTTCTATTGTTCTTGCAGCAGCAGCAACAGCAGCAAAGAGCTATGAGGAAGAAGATGATCCCACCCAAAAACCATACGACTGCAACATATAGTGGTGGAGCACCAGAATATAGCAGAGACTGTACAGAAAACCAGAAAGGATAGGGAACGAATGAAAATGATCATTTTTGTCATCAAATATCAAATAGTTTAATATATAATTCTGCAATGTGAAAATCCATGTTACATTCCTCAAACTTTATACATATAATCTTGTCCTGAATACAAAATGGTTAGATCAGCTGTAACATATATTGGGGAGATATAAAAATTAAAGCTTTATCACTCACCGCATAATAATGTGAATCAATAATATTCCAGCCACCCTCATAGTACTGGAAATGATTGGCAGGGTCAATCCTGCGAGTTCTTCCCGCAGCTAACATGAAGGTTGAGTTATTATTACTCGCATTAAACTGATTCCTTTCTCTCTTCCACGCAATGATGGTTTCATCGTCATCCTCTAAACACAACGTTTGTTTAATTTAATACAAAAATTGGTTTAATAATATGGCAGAAACAATCAAGTTTTCTGCAGATTCTAAATGCATGGAAATGCGTACGTACGATGATGATAATAATGATATAACCTGCGTTACCTTCAGCATGGGAGGGTGAGAAGAACGTTGGTGAAAGAATAAGAAAAATGATTGAGATGAGAAGAAGAGGATGAAGTCTGAGATTGAGACCCGTCGTCATATTGAGTTTCAAATTATGGGAAATTCATGAGATTGTGATACACACACACGCACATATATATGTATTGTTCCCAAAGCGCAAAGATAATAATTAATAATGATGATGATGCTAAAACTGCATATTTGAGATTGGGAACAAATCGCAAATAACTAGAGATAGGGTGATTGTTGATATTATAGCGACATTGCAGGTGGTTTGTTCAGAAGTTTAATTTCCCAGGATGGAAGAAAGAGGAGGAGGCAATAAAGAATATGAAGAAAACAATAACCTCAGTGAAAAAAGAAGAAAGAACCAGAAACGAAAAGCTGTATATACGACACTATTACTATATTTGGATTGTGCAAATTTCAAATGTTCGTTAGGCTTCATCAAACCCACAGACTTGGGTTCTCTATTTTAAAACCTTTTTGTTTAGATATCTTATATATTAATTTTGCACAATATCCGGAAAATTTTGACTTATTAGTCAAAACAAACGGGAAAAAAAAATCGTTCCTCCTTGATACGCAAGGATACAAAAAAAAAATTGTTCCGAAAACATATTAAGAGAGTGAATAATTGAGGGTTGTAGGCTTTATAGAAGAAAAGTGTAATTTTCTTTCACCCAAAAAAGAAAAGAAAAGAAAAGTGTAGTTTTCTACCATAAATGTCATCATACCTAACTACTTAAATAAATATTACTCCTCCTGTGCTAATTATAAGAGATATTTACAAGCCGCTGAATATAGGATTTTTATCTATTTTATTTTTAATATTTGTCATTTTTCAAAATTAATTTACTTAGATGTATAAATTAATATCTAATATCTAATATTATATGGATATTTTAAGGAGATTATCAGGTCATATTTATTATAATTAAATAATTTAATTAGCTTTTTTAATTTACCCCATTTGGTTAATAAATAAACCTTGCTAGGTTTGATCCTTAATAATTAGTCTCCGTGCAAGTAATAAACTTGGTTAAAAGGAACTTGCCTTCAACATTCTAGAAAAAATTAGTTTATGTTGTTAACAGGTATAACCTTGGCCTTGGAAAATAAGAGAATCATTTTTTTAAAAAAAAGTTTTCTTTTTGCATTTTACAAGATAAAATTTCCTTACATTTCTATTATAGTATAAAATCATTTTAAATAAACTAATCCAAGTACAGAAATAAATTATTTGAACCCATCCCACTTAAGATCTCTTTGAACTTTTCCTCAACTTTTGCAATGCTTGTAATGATTACAACTCACAAGCACTTAACCACAGCACATTTATCCATATGACTCATATTATTAGGCTTAATTTTTTTGGATAGGCCTAATTAGACGTTTAATTAACTACTATATTATTAAATATATTATTAAACATGAACTTAATAGCAAGTTGCCAAGTTCTATTATTGAATAATATAACCAATTTATTAGCCTCCACACGAAATACTACATGAGACCCACATGAGTATTTAAAATATAAAATTAATAAAGAGTCACACTGTTTATTAATAAGTCATGAATTATTATGCGTTGCTTTTAATCTGGCTTTCTCCATACACTTCATTGAGCTTTCTTCAGCATTGTTTTATTCCTTCACTTATTTTTCACATATTTCTATAGGGTTTAAATTTTAAAAAGATAATTACAAATTTTGAAAAGCTTTTTTTTATTTTATATATAGACACATCATATTTTTTCCCAATTCATTTTCAATCAAAGGTAAGTGCACATACAATATCTCACCAAAAAGAAAAAATACACCAGCGTCAACTGAAAATCTCAACAAGTTATCAATCACTTAAGTGGAGAGTCAAAATTCACAAATCAAATAGTCAATGGCTCGATGCACTTCTCTTTCAGAACCCACAGCCACTTAAACACAAGCTTGAGGAAAGCTGCTTCACTCCAAACTCAACCCAAGAAAACAAGAAGAAGAGAAATTTCAGTTAATTTGAAAATGAATCATTCATCAGTATTATCCACCTGAAATATGCGACTGCAAGTATAAACAGAGCAGAAGGCTTGCAAGGTCATCAAGAGCAAGAGCAAGATGGCAGCCAGGAATGTGAAGCACTGCCATGAACTGAACACATAAAGCTTCATTAATTTCCAAGCTTTCACCTTTAATCTTCCATTATAGTACTTGTTCACATCTTCAATGGCTTTGTCCAAAAATGCCACCTTGGTCAATCTTATTGAACTGTTCATCCCGTTCCACATATTAGCAGCCTCCTCATCGCTCTTCAAGTGGTTCAGAACAATCCCTTGTGCTCTTAGTATCTTCACATCCTCCTCAGAATCTGTAATCCCGTTCATCAGTTCAGTGTACCGTGTCAAAACCAACGGACCTGATGCTGCTGATGCTTCATATGCAACTAAATTTCTCAACACCACCTCAGTATTGACGTCTAGACTAATGGTGGGAAGGTGAAATGTGCGCGTTTTTGCATCAAAATTAATGCTTGATATGCCTTTATTTGTGGGTAAGAAACCAACCGCTGCGTCTAAGAGTTCTGAAACTGATGGAATAGCAATTTCCTCCACTAATGGTGGTTTATTATTGAGACTATTTGAGCTCGAATCCCCATTTTCTGGGTTTTCTTGTTCTTTATCTAGCAAGGAAAAGAAGAAGGATTCAACAGGCACTTTAAGAATTCTAAGTCCAGGAAGGTTGGAAATGACTGTCCAAGGCAACTTAACGATGAATCTCAGAGGTCTAGATAGCAGTACCTTCTTGATCAGACGTATTGGCCCTTTGTTTATGTTTGAAAGCACCTTCCAGAGCTCACTTATGAATCTCTTTACATATTTGGATTTGGATTTGGGGTTGATTTTCTCTCTCTTGCTCTTCTTCAAGTTGAACCTCGTCAACTTCGACTATATCAGATTGTTGTTTCAATTTGGGCACGATCATGTCATAAAAGAAATCTAACAGGTGAGCGCACCCTGAGACTTGGACATTTGGATAATCCTCCATCAGCTTGAAAGGAGAAAGTTCTTTGAACAATCCTACGGCCATTGAAAACAGTAAGTCGTCTGCAACTTCTAACGATGTGAACTTGAACTCCAACATCTCTCTCAGAACAAACAAGGGAAGCTGATTCTCAAGCATTACTATGTCTCTCAAAATTGCATTATGAGCTGATTTCTTCCCTGCATAATCTACCAAATGAGACATAGACCTTGAGGAAACTCCGGGTACTTTTGATCCTTCTTGGATGGCATAAACCTGAAGGAACTCAAGCAAGAACGAGGCATCGACCGCCATCATCCACACCAAGGTTTCGCCATTGAAATCTAAGAACTTGTGGTAGCATGCTCGAATCCTCTGCTCCAACTTTGTCAGTTGTTGCACGAGGTTTTCTAACTTGAAGCTTTGTAGTTGTTTCTGGAACCTTTTTGCAGCGGCAAGCTTGTACCTTTCCATTTCATAAAGCTCTGGACGCCAGTAATGATAAGGACCAATTGCAACTTGCTGAGGGACGTAAGAATCTGGATCACTAACCATGAGGAGCCTGGGAACATTGAAGATGGATACAGGTAGTTCACCATCATCCTCAAGTTCTTCTTCAAGTGTTCTACGGATTTGAATGACCCATCTGAGCTCATCAAAGTTGGATTTAGAGTCATCTGACATTGTGAACCTCAGAGAAGACATGTTATATGATTTTACTAATGGATGAACTTACTGCAGGAAATAGCAGTTTCGATGATATATTTAACGAAGAATGAGTTGGGAGAATGGAGCTTTAATTGGGCATAGGACCTGTGAAAGCGTTACTGAAGCTTTAAAAAAACATGAGAGCTATTCATCACCAGCAAGGTTTAGTGATAGCATTCTCTGAAGTCATCTTAAAGTGAAATATTGTGAAGTTTCGCATGGTTAAAATGGCATAGGTTAAACGTGCTTTTTATGAATATTATAAGAGAAACTTTACAGTCTGTTGCATTAGAAAATTTTAATGGAAGAATAATTAGTTGCAATATTTTATTTTGCAATTGGCTAAACCCAGACCTTCCTTGCTATAAGAGCAGAGGGAGTTAGTCTAAGATTTCTTTGAATTATTCTTTCGTTTCCTTAAATCAACAGTTTCCTTTAACATGAAGAAAAGGTAGCATCTTTCAAGTGACCCAACTAGCATTTATAAATTAACATAATCTGGCAAATTGAAGATCACACTCCGCGACATGATTACGTCTTTTTGGTGTGTCTGATAAAAAAAGAGTCCGCAAGTCATACCCTTCATGAATATAAAATTGAAACAAAAATGATATGGTACCTTGTATTACCTTTTGCAATTTTTATACTCCTTCGGTCTTAAATATAAAACTTATTTTTTAGTACAAATTATATTACAAAATATATTTTTATTTAAAACAAAAGAATACTACAACGGACTCCATTGTTTGTGCCATACTTACAAGGCATACTGATGATCCAGCTATACTATACATAGATCACCCCTCAACCTAGATCATTTCCTTGCAGTAAATTTAAAGGATGAAAAGATATTAACTTTATTGAAATTTTAAACGTCAGTAACCGTGAAAGGCTCTGAGACGTGAATGTGGTCTTCTTTTTAACAACAATAAAATAATTTCTTTTTTTCATGAAAACTAGATTTTATTTTCATGCGCAATGCCTGGAGAGATTAAAAGCTCTTTATATGTGAGAGTAAAGCAGAACCTTGAGATGGATTATTCCAAAAGGCTTTTGTCCACGGAGAGGGTGCTAATAAGGGCAAAAACCTTCGAGATTGATTACTCCTTCCAGTCATCGTAGGTGTTTTCACATATGAACAGAAAAAGAACAATGCTAATGATTAATGAATACAAGAAGGTTAAAGTAAATGTTCTTATGTACATAAAGAGACAATTAAATCATTCCACAAATGACAAAATTCAAATATATGAGATTAATTATACAAAAAGATGAGGAAATTAATAGAGATATTAATTATGAAATTCAAATTGAGGGGTTCAGGTAGAGAAAGACTACCAAAGTTATTTGTGACCTAAAAATACTTAATAAGGTAAAAGTTTTATCACACTGTTATAAGATTAGTGTTGCTATATGGCATTAAATGTTAGAGTTTAAAGGGACATGAGCATAAAGTGAGAATGACTGAGATGAGAATATTGAAAGGAATATATAGTCATACAAGAAAATATAAGATTCACACTGAATATATATGCAGAAGAGTTGAAGAGCACCTAACAAAGAAAAAATGGTAAAAAACGCACGTTCATAGAATGCATTGATAAGAAGGATAGATCAAGCAATATAAGACCCTCTAAAATGGGTTAGAAGAAGACTGATAGGACCCTCTCCTACAAGCTGATAACCTGAGTAAAAACTAGAAATAAACAACACACAATGGGAATACTTGAGATTAACATACTATTACTGCATAAGGATGATTGCAACACAAAATATAATCAGCAAAAGATACAATACACTCAGACACAACTCTCACAACATACAACACATACTAGAACATAGGCACATAACAGGTTCACCAATCTTGCGAGACGATTGGCTCTCTCCCTTCGAAGGCATCAGCCACACCTCTCAGAGTTCTTCTCCGCCTTCCCCCGCTGGACCAGAGTGAAGATTTAAAGACTCAAAAAAGTGACTTTTGCAACCCCGAACTCATAGACTTTGACTATAGCAGTTCGAACATAGACAGATAACAAGTTTACCAATCTTTTGAGAGGATTGGCTTTCTCCCTTCAAAGGCCTTAGCCATACTTCTCATAATTCTTCTCTGCCTTCCCCCGCTGGACCAAAGTGAAGATTTTGAAGACTCAAAAAGTAACTTTTACAACCCCCAACTCATAGACTTTGACTATAGTAGTCCCGTAACTACCCTACTCTCTATTTCTTCCTTCAAAATAGCAAATCATAATTCTTTCGAACAAGAGGTACCTTTTCCTTCACATGTATTTTCCTAGATTTCCAACAGTAGTCCTAACAAAGATCGAGAAGAATACTCAAGTTATTGAGCAAGACTTTTTGATTACCAATCTATCCAAAGATTCCATAGTTAATAAAGTATAATGACACCGTCTAATCCATATAGTTGACCTCGGATAAGACTTGTAGTTGTTGTACATCAAAAGAAAATTATCATTAACTAAAAAAGTATTAAAGTTCATGACAAGGAGGAATAGATTTTAAAGATATATTGATATTGATGATTGGTGATTGCAATCTTCTATGAAATCCTTTTTTTTTTTTTTGGGGGGGGGTTGGTTGTGGAGCCATATTCGGACTTCTCAAATCTCAATTCTCTAATGCATGCCCAGGCAAATGTTGAAACCATACTCAAAGCCCAATAGTACAGGTTGAATTTAGTCGACCCACCCGACTAGACAAATCTAGCATAGTTTCTACAGCTTGACCACAGAATAAACGAGAACATGATACCAATAAAAGCATAACAAGTGGCAACCTGAGTAGTCCATAGGGGCAAGTCACTATGTACAGATATTTATGATCAAAACCAGGCACAGGCACTCGAGGCTCACATAATTCTTCAAGTGAAAGTCTCCACTGCATTTCAGAACTACCTTTAGCAGTTTAGGGAAATTAAATAGCAGGCTGATTATCTCAGCAGATCAGACTTATATTTGTACATATGCCTAGTAGAGGTTTATAATCAACCAATCACAATCAGTCATGTCAGGAACCACCATCAGCCAAGCAAATTAGGGAGAGTCGAGCTGTGAATCCACACAATATAGAGTCAACAGTCAAAGAAGAACAAGCTTGTTACTGTTTTGCTGATTTTTTTCTCTTTCATGGGCGTGTCAACATTTCTCATCTTCCTCTAAAGTCACCTTCGATCTATGCTATGCTATTTTCAAATTCTAGCATACTTGTATCTTGCATCTTCTCAACCTTGCTTGCTTTTCCCCAATGATACCACTGGAGAAAAAAAGAGACTCGCGCCTGTAGATATATACAAACATTGCACATGCAAATAATAGGATAAAAAATCACAACTATCCACCAGGGGATTCTCCTGTCACCTCCAGCGTTGTCCCCAACTCTTTCCTTGGCCTAGATGAAAGTCCTTTTGCTAGCATCTCTTCATCATATTTCCTGGCCATGTCTAATAATCCCTTATCCAAAAGAGCATCTATCATAGCATTGTAAGCAGATGCATCTGGACTACATCCAAGTTCTTCCATTTTCTCCCACAATAAAAATACTGGTCGAAGAAATCCCCACCTCCCAAACTTCCTCATAAGCATAACATAGGTATCCATACTTGGTCGAACTCCACTTCCAATCATTTTATAAAACAATGTGAGTATATCCCCAGGCTTTTCCATGCACGCGAAAAAGAATTGATATGAAATAGCATTCGGCTGACATCCATTCTTACGCATGGTACCAAGCATCTCAAGTGCTTGCTTATGTCTGTAGTTATCACATAAAAGCCTAATGATAGTGTTATAGGTTACGAGAGAAGGCTCAAACCCTAAATCTTTCATTTCACGAAAGAGGTTAATTGAAAAATCAACCCCCTGTGAAAGACCTATGGCACGAATAGCAATATTATAGACAACCACATCCAATTTCATCCGTTTACTCTTCATCTGCTTGAATAACTTCACAGCCTTCCAAGGCTTTCCACTTTTGCACATTATATCCATATATGTTGCATATGAATGTACATCTTTTTGAACTCCCTTTCTATCCATCTCTTCCCAAAACTCCCTACACTTGCTCCACCATCCCAATTTAAACCACCCACGAAGAACAATGTTATAGTATTTTACATTGACTTCCACATCTCCGTTCTTGTTCTTCCCAAAAATCAAGTCTTGGGCTTCATCCACATGCTTGTACTCACACAGTGCATCAATAAGATTGCAGTACGAAGTTTCATCCTTTAAATTAAATTGGTGAAGCTTTTCATATGTCTCTATCGCTTCATTAACTAGATGAGCCGAAACATAACGTTTAAACATGATTCGAAATGTGGTATGGTCCGGAGAAGAAGATGGATTTTGCCGCATGCGTTGAATCAAATCCCATGAAAGTTGAAACTCAAAGAACTTACCAAGGATGTCGATCATATAATTATATGTATCAGTGGGGAGCTGCAAACGGTATTCTCTTTCGACCCAATTGAAAAATTCGAATGCGCGTTTCCAGTCATTGCGGAAGGTTAACAAAGTTTCACGAACTGTTGCGGGATCAGTATTGCTGGAACTTGGTTCGAGTGTTGGGGATTGGTGGGGAAATTGTTTGGAGGAATAGAAAAGGGTTTGGATGAAACAAAGATGAGGGAAGAATCGAAGGCGACAAGAGGCGGGCAAACCCATCGGGAGGTTTTGCAAGTGCTAAAACCCATCACCGAAGCAGTGATGCGTTTAGAGCCGAGGGATGGAGCCATAAGATCCATGGTTTACCAGAGCGGACCAAGATCCAATAAAGGCATTATAATCCGACCCGGGTTAATCCTCTTGGTTCCCAAGACAAGAACAAGGCTTGGATCTCCATATCTGACTCTTTTTTTTAAAAGTATTATATATATAATTTCTTAAATATGCAATATGTATACATATAGTTCTGAATTGATTTATACATTTATCTTGTAATTAAAACATTTTTCTACGTTGGAACCTGGAACTCCTATTATTCATACTTGAGTAATTAATTTTATTCACTTGATTTTTTTGCATTTTATCAAGTTCGAATAAAACATAATAAATGTCTGAGATGTGTTGCTTTAAAAAAAATGTGACATGATCAAAGTTGTTCCTATTTTATACTACCTCCGGTCCTAATTATAAGAGCCAGTTGACTAATTTGAGGAGATTAAAGAAATAAGTTGAGTTAGTTTTTTGTCCTAAATAGATGTTGTCTTTCCTAAAATATTTTTGCTAATCTAGTTTATTGACTAGAATTATCATTGTTAGAAGGGCTATTTTGAAAAAAAATGTATAAATATAAGAGACAAAGTGGATTGGGGTTTTATGTTTAGGACTAAAATAAAAATCAAACAGAGTCTTATATTAAGGATTGGAGGTAATATCTATTTCTTTTATTTTTACTTTGGTCTCATATTTGCAAAATAAAATGAATATTTTTGTTTCGCATTTTTATACAGAGACACACACAGTTACTCTCTCCATCCTTTTTTATAATCAATAACTATCATCCACTCTTTAATATATTTATTGTCTTATTTTTCAAACCATCATCTCTCTCCATCACATATTCTCTTTCTTTTATAGTTTCTTTTATTATAATAATTTTCTAATTCTTTTTCTTATACCCTCTCCTCTCATAAATAAGAGTATTTTGGAAAAAAAACTTCTAATTTTTACCTATTTATTGTCTTTAATTAATTTTTTGATCTACATAATAGAGTCCTATGTTTTTTATAATAAGAGACGGGGGGAAGTATTTAACAAAATTTAACAATTGTGGAACTTTTTCAAAATATTTTGTTTATTTATGTGATTTAATTCAATCTAAATAAAATTAACAGTTAACCGTGAAATGTGATATTCGGTAGCCGGGTGCAAGGGAAATGGGAACATACCCTTCACTTCAGCCATGGAAATTCTATCATTCTATTTCCATGGGTTAAAGTCAAAATTTCAACCTCTATGCTCTCTCCCTCTTTCCTCTCCCTATCTCCTGTGCTATACAGCCGCCTGTCGGAATTGCTTTTTCTATTTCTTTCCAATTACAAAAATGGCGGTGGCTTCTCTTCAGTTCCCTGTAAAAGCTTTCAGGTCATTCCCTCAAAACTTTCACTTGTCATCTAGTAAATCATCTAAGCATCGCCTTGTCAGGTGTTCCGCTGCCTCCCCTCCTTCCAAACGCAATTACTCCATCACTTTACTTCCTGGCGATGGCATTGGTCCTGAAGTCACCGCTGTTGCCAAGAATGTTCTCGATCTTGCTGGCTCTCTCGAAGGTCCGTTCGAACCCCTAATGGGGTCGCATGCTTTGTGGGCTAGAGTTGAAATTCCCTTCTTTCTGTCCTGTTTCTTCTCCTAATTTTAAAGTCTCTGATTTGTGCTGCGCTATTTAGTCTTCATGTGATTCCTGTACTTGGAATTTGATAATCTCCCATTGGTTGTATTGATAACGGACGGCGTTTAGAATTAACTCAGGTTTATGCAAAGCTTACTTGCTTCTCTCTAGAAATAATGGTGTTTAGCTCAGTGGACTGGCTACTTTATTGTGTTGTCCTATATAGAATTCATACTTTAAAGTGACGCATTATAAGATGAAAACGAAGAGTTCTGTAATTTCTGCCTACCAAGCATTACCCCCTCTGTGTGTCTATTTTAGCATCTCCTCCTTTCTTAAATCAGGGATTAAATTTAATTTCCGCGAGATGCTTCTGGGTGGAGCTGCATTGGACGAGACAGGAGTCCCATTACCAGACGAGACATTATCTGTAGCAAAGCAATCTGACGCTATTCTTCTTGGCGCAATTGGAGGGTAGCTATCTTTTCACAGACTCTTGTTTGGAATTTGACACTAGACCACTTTTATACTCAAATTCTTCCCTCTACTAGACATTATGTGTCCTTTCATTTAATTACTTAAGGTATAAATGGGATAACAATGAGAAGCGTTTAAAGCCAGAGACTGGTTTGCTTCAGCTACGGGAAGGTCTTAAAGTATTTGCCAATTTGAGACCAGCTATTGTATTCCCACAGGTAAAAGTTTAATTCTCCTGGAAAATCATTTAGTTGATATTTAGGTATAAGATTTATGGAATATGTAATATCCTATGTGACGAGAAAAGAAAATGTAATATCCTCATGCTGACTTGTGAAATTTGAAACACAGGAAATTTAATTTCCCCTCTATCTTATGCCCCGCTATCACATAAGCAGGAATGTAAATAGAAGGAAGCCAAGTCTGGCTTCTACCTTTGCTATCAAATACATTCACGCATCATATAATAAGAATTTTACTCGCTAAGAACATAGGTCATTATTTCAGTTAATATTCTTTTAAATCCTCATCCTGGGCTAGAATTTTGGCTGAGTTTAACCATAGTTTCTGGCGAAATATTAGCATTATTCTGTGCAACAGTTATTGAATCGTTCGATATTATAATGCCATAGAGCACGACTTCATGTTTGATATTATACATCAGATGCTAACTGATATCCCTTACCCAGTATCTACCATTTTGTATTAGTTTTCGAGTTGGCTTTGGCATTCTATAAACTTTTGTGAATTGTCCTGTAGTTAATGGATGCCTCAACTTTGAAGAGAGAGATTGTTGATGGGGTTGACCTCATGGTTGTAAGGGAACTCACTGGAGGTCTGTCGGGCTTTGATTTTGACTGTGTACAGTGGATTTGATTTTCTTTTATGATCTTTGGAATAGTAACTGTCAACTATTTTAACAACTTTTGAATTTATTTATATTTTATTTATTATTCATTTTTTTCCATTTTCTTTAATTTAGAAATACTGTAGCTAAGCCTGTTGCTGTGTTGCTGTATTAGGCATTTACTTCGGAAAACCCAGAGGCTTCGGTACTAATGAAAATGGTGAAGATACTGGCTTCAATACTGAGATTTATGCTGCACATGAGGTATCTTACTTGTCCAAGTTGGTCCTCTGGATAAAACATTTGTGATATCATTATGTTATCATTTCTTCATGCCATTGCTGCTTAACATATGTATTCTTGTGAAAAATTATTTTAATAACTTCTTTTATCTTGTCTTCCTATTGATTTTCTTCTAGAACTTTATAACCTATGGCTAATCTGAATTTGATATTTCTTTAAGCAATTTGTGGCTTCATAATTTAATTTGATGAAGGATGTTGTGTTTCTTGATCCTTCTTTTATTGCAAATTCCAGTTTCTCCAAAATATTTGAATATAACAAGGAGGTTGATAATAATTAAAAGCGGAACCTGAGAACTGAAGATAGAAAGGGGGGAACCATATAACTACCTTTTTTTAATGGAATATATATATATGCTTTTGATGTATACGGACAACAATGGGCAAATTGAAAAGCTTAGAAGAATAAAAATAAGGGATCACCATGGATAAGAGTTAGCATGGTTAAAAAAAATTTGATATGCTTGGGACTGCTAGAGAAGATATGCATGTGACTGTTTTGTAAAGACTGTTTACCTTGGAGGAATTTGCTAGAGAAATAGAATTCGTTTGAAGGATGTAAGTTGGTGTTTGAATCAAAATTTATAGTCATTCCAAATTAGAGAGATATGGGCTAGTTTTTACTTTTTATAGTACATTAAAAATCTGCAAATTCTGCCAAAAGATGGTAGTTGCAGTGCAATTTCTATCATGTGATGTCATGTCATGTTCGTGCTGTGTTTTTCTTTTGTCCCTTGGAAGAATTTCTAAGGTCCTTTTGGAGAACTAGCATTTTCTAAGAGGAAGTGTATGGGAATGTATATGTTGTGGGATTCACATTTTATTTTCCCTCCATAAAGAACTTCTATTTTTCTTGTCACCAAAACAAAAAAACTATTTTTCTTCCTGAGATTTGTTGCTGGTGTCCTGTCCTTATGATAAGTGTCATAATCCCTAAAACTATGACTGTCTCTTTCTGTTCACCTCAAAAAAAAAAAAAAATGATTGTCTGTTTCTGACGTTTGTTAACTCTTACACCAGATTGATCGCATAACACGTTTTGCATTTGAGATTGCTCGGAAGCGGCGTGGGAAACTCTGTTCTGTTGACAAAGCTAATGTGTTAGAGGTACTTATTACTTCATCCAGTAAGTTACTGGCAATTGTACTATTTGAATAATCACAGTAAGTTTGTGGGTAGTCTCTGGTTGTGAGATTGAGTGATATACTGATTTTTTTTTTTTTTGTGCTCATGTACATTTATTATGTTCTCTACAATATATGTCTCAATTAGTTGTCGTTGCGTCAGGGTAAAAGATTTCAGAGATTAGCTTCTCATTAAAGTTGTGAAACTTTTAATGAAGACACATCTTGGCAGTTTTTTGATAAACATCATATGCGGAATAATTTGCAGCACGAGTCAATTTGTGAAACTTTTAAATAAAACTTCAAAGATGCAAGTTATATTATCTGCAAAATTTTATATGACTGAAAAGTAATTAAAAATTTAAAACTTGCCTATGATTTGGCTACTAATGATAGTAATGAGGAAAAGATGCGTGGTACATGATACATTTGTGTCCTTTTCCAACATATCTTAATGAGTCTGGCGTGTCTATTTTTTTCAGGCATCAATGTTCTGGAGGAGAAGAGTTCTGGCAATGGCACAAGAATATCCGGATGTTGAGCTCTCACACATGTATGTTGATAATGCCTCAATGCAACTAGTTCGCTATC